ACTCACAAGCCCAGTCACCCACGCACTGTATACATGCTATAAACCATTCACCAAGCCCGATATGTGTGTCACCCAGTACCCCCAGTCGTAGCACCGGAGCAATGCGTCACACATAATTATACAGGGGCAAGCTCAAACAGTCCATTTGGAAAAGATTAATGCTCCATCTGCCCTACTCAGGAAGGCAAATGGTGGGATAGACAACCAAGTTGAACAGTGGATGGATGCACTTTCGGACCAGTATACTCATAGTAGTGTTCCACAGAAAGACCCACGTGAAGTTGAGGATGCTGATCAAAACATAGCTCAGTGAAGATTGTTCGTGGAGTGTTTGGTCTGCAGACAAAGGTCCAGGCTTATACATGACCAGAGAAGCTACCAGGTATACATCACTCACCCCAGATGGAGAATGCCCAACCTTCTGTTCAATCTGTATAATGTACAAAACCAGCAGTTAGCAAGTCCAGGCATGTGTGCAGCAAGCAATGTGTTTATGTTCCACACTAGCAATTGCCCACAGGTCTATTAACCATCTCTTGCTTGACAAACGGTGCACTTAGCTACGGTTTACTCTCTGCTCCTGCTCACTGTTAAAAATGGGGTGTTACGGCAACACCTTTTGGGGCGCCCGTGGGACTGTGCCAGTTTGGCACCCTTGGGGTGTTAGGGCGGGGTGTTAACCATCACCCATAAGATGTACAGGAACACCCTTTCTGGGTAATGTACACCCATAAGAGTGTACAGGAGCACCCTTTCTGGGGTAATGTACACCCATAAGAGTGTACAGGAACACCCTTTCTGGGGCAATGTACACCCATAAGAGTGTACAGGAACACCCTTTCTGGGGCAATGTACACCCATAAGAGTGCTATTTAGCCTTTCTATTTCTGAGTAGCTACTGTTTGAGCTACCAATGTGGCACAGCTGGCCGGCACCCTGCAACCACCCCAGTTTTCCTGATGAGGCTTTTGGTAGAATGAGATAAATTTCCAAGACACAAACTGAGGTGAAGAGAGTAGTTACAACATAAAAGCCATGGCCACTGATCTTTTGATGCGAAAAAGTACAGTAAAACATTTTGACGTATGTTAGTATCCACTGCTTATGTAATCAAGTCCGTCTCTTGACCTGCTCATGAATTTGCTGTGTTGGAGCCGCGTAGGCAGCTAAATAGTGTTACTATGTGGGCGTACAGTGGTTGTTCGGTAACAGGGCGCACGGAAGGACATGACGACTATGGCGCAAGGTTACGCAACCGCAATGAAGCCGAGTGACGGACCGGACGGACTCCAGAGCGGTATCTTATAAAAGCTCAAAGCCCGGACCTGTGCCGGCACACTGAGAAAGAATGGGGTCATCTGTGCGGTAGGCTCTGGACATAGTGGGCATAATCCTTGCCACCGTCTTCTGTGGCCAAGGTCGTCATCAACGGCGTCGTCGGGAACGGGATCGGCGTCAAGAACGACACTGAAGAAATCTCCAACCAGTTCGAGACCCAAGTAAGCTAGGATATATATACCTGTATGCCGACACACGCATTAGCGCGAGCTCCAACGACCCGTTTTATGACCAATAGCTAATAAATGGTGTTCTTGCTTTACCTTCGCAGATAACTCCGGCAGGCTGGGCGTTCTCCATTTGGGGAGTGATTTACACCTGGCAGTTTCTCTGGGTCATCTATGCCTGGACCTTTGTCTGCAGACCAAACACTCCACGAACGATCTTCACTGGAGTCTACTATGGCTAATGTTTTGATCTGCATCCTCAACTCGGCTTGGATCTTTGTATGGGGCAACGCCGAAGTGTTCTTGTCTGGTTGGCATGGGCCATCCTCATTAATCTTTAACCTGGGTGTTTATAAACCATTGCCTTTGGGTCAAAGGCTTTTCTTGCAAGGCATATGGAGCAAAGGTCTTGACATCTGGCTTGACTCGTTATCCTTGTCCTCAGGGACTCCTATTCTAACGTCTCCCTGACCACCATCTCACTTCTTGCGGACACACATGTAGCAGCTAGCAGCAGAGTATTGGACGTGAGATTCTAGGTTTCTCTACCCTGCTGGCCTATACATATTCACGCTCCCTCCTCTTGGCCGCAGTCCTGACCTACTTCATTCTGGAGAACACTGTTTTCGATCGCGTAACCGATCGGAAAATTCGCTATAGCTTTCGCTGTCTACCCACGTCATCATATGGGCTCGGTCTGGTCCTCAAGATTTGGCCAAAAATTGAATGTCAGATGACCCTTCCTCGTCGTTAACCAATAGATTCTCACTGGTGCTGTTAGTCCTAACTGTTGTTTTTGCTCTTGTTCGGATTTTGCTCTTTATTCTATTCACCTTATTCCGCCCCATCCGATCAAAGACCCTCACCACTATTTAGGGTCTAACTGACCACTACAGACAACAGTTGGTGTGAACACAGAGATCAGCATGCTGGCTTGTGACATGTGATCCAAACACATTGCTGTCATCTACCATGACATTATGTATTATGACATTATTATACCCACAATATTATGTAACACTCCATAGAAATTTGGTATAATTATTATTATGTTACCAGGCGACATACAACTATAACCTGCGTTTTGTTTAGTCTCGAGGAGCCAGCCCCTTTAGAGGTGCCCACTGTATTGTTAATGTCTGTACTATGTATATATTGCGTAAACTTTGTTTGAAGTAATAATAATCTCTGCACTACTCTGTTGGCAACTTCAGCCGTAGCGGACGAAAAATAGTGAAGATCACGAAGAGGATGAGCAAGGACAACTGTGACAGTTTAATGGACCTTAGAGCTTAGAGCTAGGGCTGAGGTGCCAAGACAATTATACAATGTGGTGTGGCTTTGTACATAGCTTTGAGGCCTATATTATGTGGACAACAGGTTCAAGAGCCAGACTGAATTAGACCTTGAATGTACAAATGCCATCATAAATATGTCTCCTTCACACTAACCCAATTATAGCTATAATATCCATAAGATTCGTCAGAAATTCCTTTGTGGTGAAATGGGCATAGGGGTAAATTTTCACCCTATATACTATAGCTATCCCTTATCAGTCTGAGTGTGAAGTTTGAGCTAGTTGGTTGATATAGCTGCTATTACACAATATGTGACTTTCATGAACTCAAGCAATAGAAAAAAACACAATGACAAAACATTACCATAAGTGAAAAAGTTGATCAATAGCTCATACAAATGTCAGTAAGGCAAATGTGCATGGAATGTGATATTAGTCACCCTCTACACGACGGTGTTTTCCTTCTTTAGTTGAAGAGGGCGGAAGAGTGTAAAGATAACGAAGAGGATGATTCGAAAGAGCACCAGAATAATAGTTAACACCAGCAGGACCAGTGAGAATATGTTGGGGCCAGTAGGATCGTCAGTCTCCCAGTTATCAGCCACGACAGCAGACAGGGCCCATATGACGACTGGGTAGACAGCGAACGAATAGCGAAGGTAGCGATCGAAAACAGTGTTCTCCAGCATAAAGTACGTTAGGACAGTGAACATGAGAATAGAGAGTGCGATGTAGGCAGCAGTAGTGCCGTCTGTGTCTCCCTCGTAGATCATAGCAAGACTCACGTTGAGAAGTGAAGCGATGGTGGTCCAGGAGACGTAGAAGAGGAGTCCATTGAGGAGAAGGATACGAGTCAGCCAGATGTCATAGACCTTGGCTCCATGTGCCTTGCTCAGGCCAGGGAGGCAATGATGGGATAGAACACCACATTATACAACACGAGAATGGCAGCACTTCCTGCAATGTTCCCACTGTTCCATACAAAGATCCGTGTGCAGTTGAGGATGCAGATCAAAACGTAGCCAAAATACACCCCAGTGAAGATTGTTCGTGGAGTGTTTGGTCTGCAGACAAAGGTCCAGGCATAGATGACCCAGATGAACTGCCAGGTGTATATCACATTCCAGATGGAGAATGCCCAGCTAGCAGGGAGTATCTAATGGAGAGATCAAGGCCAAAACTCTAGTCATTTCGATAATAACCATTATCTCAGTGAGCTATAGATATACAACTGCGTCCCCAAAAACGGATGGTTTCCTAAATGCAAATTTAGTGTGTGTGCTCGCATACCTCGGTAGGATTGCCAAACATTTCAGCGGGGAAGGGAAATGGTGGTCCTGAAGAGTTGAGCTCTGGGCCAGCAGCGGCGGTAAATACGGGTCCAGTGAAGTTACGATCCCCTCGCCTCAGTCCCAGCAGGAGAAGGGCAGCAGGTGAAGAGTGGAACGGTATCGGTGGTGTCGTGGTTCCACCTGACAGTGGAGGGAGCAGACGGTGTAGCAGAAGTTACCTCCCCCACCCACTCCATTACCGTCACGCCAAATGACGTCAACCAACTGGAGGTCCAGATCTTGGAGATTCTCGAGAGCGACCTGGTGATTCTGGTGAAGATGAAAGAGCCGCACACCCCTAAGGCCATAGTAGAGGGTGGGCTGGATGATAAGGGGGCTTTCATGTCCAGCCCAGCAGTGATGCTCAACTTCTTGCCTAGCTTTCAAGATGTGGGGGAGGAGGAGGCAGCATGTGAGTTCATTTTCCTCGTCGATCGCAGTGGAAGCATGAGGGGTTCGTACATCCAAAGCGCTCGTGAAACACTCGTCCTTTTCTTGAAATGTCTTCCTCGGGACACCTACTTCAACATCATTGGCTTTGGTTCTTCATGCAAATCACTCTTTCCAGAAACAGTGCCCTACGACGAACAGCACTTGGAAACGGCCGTTCAGCATTCTCAAGAAATGAAGGCTGATCTGGGGGGCACTGAACTATTGAACCCGTTGAAGCACATATTTGAGATGAAGCCACGGGCAGGGTATGCCAGGCAAGTCTTTGTGTTGACAGACGGCTCCGTGAGCAACACTGATGCCTGCATACAAGAGATGAAGAGGAATGTTGAGAATGCAAGGTAGGATTCCACAACACCTTCCGGAACTTTCTTGTCGTAGTAATGAACTAGCAACATATATTCGGTTCTTTTCCAGGTGTTTCACTTTCGGGATTGGATCTGGAGCATCCTCTGCCCTGGTCAATGGTCTGGCCGTAGCTGGAAATGGAGCAGCAGAGTTTGTGAAGGAGGGAGAACGCATGCAGCCAAAGGTTTGCACCTATTTTTAGTTAGTACGTAGCTCCAACATCTAGCAATTACCCACTTTACTCCATTTATACAGGCCACTTACTATAGTCTACCATTTCTACAGGTTATTCGAAGTCTGAAGCGGGCTCTGCAACCTGCTGTAACTGATGTCTCATGTTTTTCGAGGTCTCTGAAGAGCTTGAAGTAGTGCAAGCTCCATTAAATCTCCCGCCAGTTTTCAACGGAGAAAAATTGGTCGTATACGCTACACTCAGGTCAAAGAGTGCATCCAAAGAGACGGTAGACTGCACTGCCGTTTTGAATGGGAATATGCTGGGAGCAAAGCTGGAGCACAAGGTTCCGTTTACTCTTCGGAGCTCCGCTGTAGCACCAAGTCTCCCTGTCATCCACCACCTTGCCGCGAAAGCACTCATCACAGATTGGGAGACTGCGGGAAAAGAGAAGAAGAGCATCGTTGATCTGAGCATCGAGTCGAGTGTCATCTCTTCCCACACTGCCTTTATCGCCGTCGATGAAGAGAGCTCTGGGCTTGTTAGTGGCTCCATGAAAGTCTACGACATACGAGCTACTAGTCTGTTAGAGGGACGTGGCGCAAGCGAAGCTCTATTAGAGACTTGAAGCCAAAAGGTCGTGCTCGGAAGTTTGTTGCATAAAAATTCAAGTCTCCTCGTATAGAGCGAAGTAGATGTGCTGCTCGTGACTCTAGGCATCAACTATGTAGTCCTGTTATGTTAGATACTTCAGAAGAGGACGACATTTCTCTTTCTTCTGAAACTGGTGGTGCAAGCATGCACACTTCGCAGCCCACAGACACACTGACAAGTCTGATTTCTGCCCAGCAGCTCAACGGATCCTGGGTCCCTGACTTCATCCTTTGCCCAGCTGATTGGAAAGCCACTCTCAGACTTGGAGGCAGCCTGTCCCATTGTGGGGGAGGGAGTGGGGGCTACAGTGTGGGCCACCGTTCTGGCTGTGAGTCTACTACGATCTCGATACTCAAGTCAGCAAGATGAGTGGGAGCTAATTGCGACGAAGGCCGAATCATGGCTAAATAAACAGAGCCTCCCACCCAGTATTACCCTCGAGAACATGTTTATAGATGCACAGGAACAGCTTCAGTAGTAGGCATTAGTACTGTATTTTTGCACAAAAGCAGCGCAATAATTGCGCATGCGCAAGAGGTTCCCAGTAGACCACACCCCTTTCTACAGGCCTTTCGTGATAACTGGACAGAGATAGCGAGTGTCCTGTGTATGCATTCCACAGATAATCTTCGGTTTGTGTGATCAGGAGAGTACTGTGACATGGCATGAAGGCGAAGCAACTGGTGGTGGTACTTGCCGTGTTCCTGGCGGCCGTCTGTCTCCTCCTCGGGGGAACACTCAGGCATCCGCAGCAGGGCTTCCAAGGGTTGGACGCCCGTCGCTTGGCCACTCAGACTTTCTCTCACAGATCTCTCGCCGTCTCTGGCGCTCGAACCCACAGTCAGATTAAGCCTACTCCTCTGCCCAATGTCTCTTTCGACCCGGGAGGCCGAGATTCCCTCGTGTTCATACACATCCAGAAGACGGGCGGCTCTGACTTTCTCCGGCATCTGGTGACCGTGGAGCGAGACCACCATCCGCTCTGTCTCCCGGAGAGCGCCGCCAGCTCCACCCCAATCAAGAGGAAGAAGGAGCGATCCCTCTGTCCACGTCCTGGAACAGCTGAGTCAGCCACTAGACCTCGCGACTGGTGGCCGTGGTTGATCTCGGAGAAGACACTTGGCTGGTACTGTGGCCTTCACCCGTTCTACTCTGAGTACAAGTCCTGTATTGCCCTCGAGAATAGTCTACCGGAGAGAAACCGAAAGTTTGATCCCACAGCCAACTTTCACTACTCCACGATGCTTCGTCACCCGGTCGTCCGCTACATCAGCGAGTACCTGCACATCCAGAGGGGAGCCACTTTCAGCTACCGTCACATTTGCAACGGAAAGAAAGTGCGGAACAGTGAGATGCCACCGTGCTACCCTGGGTACTATGACCGTGAGACCTGGCATAACGTGACTCTCTCTGCCTTTCTCTCCTGTGAGAGCAACTGGGCCAATAACAGACAGACGTTCTCTGTGGCAGACCTGGAAACTGTCCACTGTTTCAACCAAAAGGCCCTCCCACGTGGTGAAAGAGAACAGAGACTCTTGGAGAGTGCTAAACAGAACTTGATGAGGTTTTCGTTCTTTGGGATCACAGAGTACCAGGCAGAGAGTGCTGCCCTGTTTGAGAAGACGTTCGGACTCAAGTTTGGCCAAGGGTTGGAGCAGAAGCCGGTGGGCTCACTCAACTCTGCTCCAATGCTGAATTCAGTGTGGAACACAGAATCGGCATACAGCAGGATAGCTGCTGCCAATCACCTCGACATGCAGCTCTACAATTTTGCCTTGGAGCTGTTTGCAGCTCGCCTGCTGGCCATAGGCATAGAGATAGACCTCGATAGCATCACAAAGGAGGTACAGCTCTTGCCTTCCGACGGCGACGCATTCAAACGAAAAAGGTTCCAGAAACAGTTACGAGGTTGACATCGGACATTGAATCATCACAGCTATCACCACAGTGTTTTTTACACATGGAAACCACTATTATTATTATTTCTCTTTTCAATGATGAATGATGCTTTCACCTAAAAACGAAGAGTTTAACATGCACAAGGCTATATCATGCCATTATTCGTGCTACCATTTGACAGTCGGTGACCCATGTTAGCACCCGACTTTGCTAAGCTTTTGCCCACAATTCATTGCATTCATGGCGTGTTTTTAACTACGCTTGTTCTCAGGCCATTTTTGTTTGAAAAAAAAACGGACTGGGAACGAGGCTAGTTTTTTTTACATGCTAAAGAAGTGGTGGGTGTATATATACAAGTGACAGTATAGTCATTGTGGGTAAGTGTTAGTGAGTATGCTGGACTTGAGCCTCTGGTGAAGGTCCTCCATGAGGGGCCTCTTACTGGCTCTGGAGTTCCAGCACTGCAGCATCTCCCTATATCTGGACACACAGACACACATTTCAATAGCAATTTGCATAGAGAAGTATGCAATGTTAGTGAACGTATTAACCTCTATGTAGAGCTCAACGCAGCCCTTCGCACTTGCAACAATGCTCCCCTGTTATATGTTCAGCCCAGAATCCACTGAGTTGACATTCAATTTCCCCACTTTTGGCATGCACTGTCTGCTTTCACAAAACTCCCGCGTCATCCCTGAGTGTGATTGTCACTCACAGGTTGTTGGGGCAGTGGAGGGGTTGAGGCAGGGGTAGTCTGGTGTAGCACACTGCAATCACCACCTCCCCATCTCCAAGCTCCTGGTAGGGAAATCCCCCTCTCCCCATCACCTCCCACAACAGGACACCAAACGACCTGGGACATACCATAATAATCCAAGTCAGTGTAAATACATGCCATTCATTTAAGTGTTAGCAGAGGACTGCCAAGACTACATTGGACTTCAAAAGTGTTGCATAGATATAGTCAATGTAGCAGTGACTGGCTTACCACACTGTGCTCTTGGATGTATACTTGTGCCGTGCAATAGACTCTGGGGCCATCCATCTAGGATAAACCAAGTATCCAGCCATGATACAAGATGAAACTTTATTCCTCCGAGACAAAGTTGCATGCAACTTAAAATGTACCGGTATGATTGACGATGCTACAAAGTTAGAAAGCATTTCTATGGACCCATCATACCTGAAGTTACATGCATCGTGTATGTATCATGGCTGTTTGGAACACAGAAATACACACCTGAGAGGCATCAATGATCCACTGTTCTCAACTGCATACTCACTGCGGTGGAGGTACCTGCCGAGCTTGAAATCTATTTCACAAAGAAACAGTGGGTCTGAGCTGGGAGGGTCGTTTTATGTGTAATATGGATTCTGGGCGTCTCTAGCCTTTAGTGTGTCTGTGTGTATTATGAAGTCCTGCATGTGTATTAGAGAGTATTGAGTACTCTTTGGGGCATGTTAGAGTGAGTGAGTCTGTGTGTATTAGACTGAGTGTCTATACATATTGCTGAGTCCTGAATAGATCTGTGTACATTAGGCAAGTGTTGAGTGGGTCTGTGTGAGCTATGTACAGGACACACTCACCAGTAATCTTGGCAGAGAGATTCTGTGTCACAATGCAGTTCCTAGCAGCAACATCCCTGTAAGCAGGCAAAGACAGCTAGTACTCGCCATTCATCAGTATGAGCGGTGTTCATTAACAGAGAACTAGCTGAGAGCATTACCTGTGGACATAGTCCATGGACTCCATGTAGGCGAGACCTGCCGCTACATCAGTCGCCAGAGCCACTAGCTGACCATGGGAGAGCCTGTGGAACAAGAGGCAGCCGTAACTGACTTTAATCACTGATGTCACCACCTAAGAAGTTTTCCATTGATTTGTCACATCTGTGGGGCTTAATAAAGGTGCACAAATCGCTGGTGGTTTTTAGGTATCAACACTGACAAAGGAACAACTTCTTGCGCCCAATGCAGGTCCAGTGATGATACACAGTAAAGTGAGTGACCAAAAGCTTTACTCATCATTTCCCATTTTGTGGGATTCTGTTGATGCTATGGAAAGAGTATTCTAGCCCTTTAGACTTGTAGTAACGCAACCTGACCTGTGTATTCCTAGTAGCTTGCCTTAGCTGGAGTCCCCCAGCTAAGCCATATCCCCTAGCAGTACAAACCTTATCATATGCACACCAAAGCTGAAGCCTACTTGTGGGTAAGCATGAGGATGATGCTCAACCTACTCAACACACCAGCAAAACACACTAGATCCAGTGTGTAAGGCTGGAGGGAGACCTATTTATAGCTACCCAGGGCCTCCTTCCTCCTCCCTGTGCATAATATTACTATATGCGTAAGAAATACTAGTTTCGAGTGCACATAATAGAGTAGCTTGGAGTTGGTATAGCGATCGCCTACAAAGCAGCGTGTCGTGGGGTTCGAATCCCACCCAGGGCACCTCTTCTTTTCTGGAGAAAAGAGCTGTCCTATATGTGCAGATGACGGTTTGCTTTGCCTTGCATTATTACTACCTCGTAGATGATGGGAGAAGGCCAGGGTAAGAGAGTAGTCTCACCCGGGGTGAGGAGCAGCAGCACGGGAGGCGGCCAGGAGGAAGGTCTTGAGGTCTCCGTTGATTGTCAGCTCCAGGACCTGGTAGTAGGGGGCGTGGCCAGTCACCATTCCCAGGACTCTACCCACATTTGGATGCTCCAGGTGTCTGTGTGAAATGGCAAACAAATTAACGACACCAAGGCAAAAAGTGTTCGTCACCAGAAGTTATCTAAATGGAATATGTAGTACATAGCTAAGGGCTATAATTAGAAAGCTTAACAACCAAATAATAGGACACATCACAAGAGTGTGGTTACGTTTATTAAAATTTAGCCATTTCACTGCCACATTCTCATTAAACACCGTATCTGATCTCACTTGATTTCATCCACTTCTTCTCTAAAGCGCACCAGATCCTGTGTTGTGCCTCTTTGGAACGCCTGTAGACAGCATTAATGCATGCTAACAAACCATGACCAATCCACTCAAGCAAATAGTCCATTATGGGCCTATATGCAGGTGTTCTTTAAATGACTTGTTAGCTATACTGGGGGCACACAAACCTTGACGATAGCCCTGGAGGTCATGTTGAGTCCCAGTTGGACCTCGGCATCATAGATTGGGGCCAAACTCACCAACCCCCAGCTGCCCTCTCAGAGTGATATCTCTCCTGTCCACCTCCCAGTCCATGTCTGGAGAATAGCAACACGTAATGACAGGGACACCTCCTTCTTTACTCTTGTGCAATACTATATATACCCCTCGCTCGCCATTCACACCTCATAGAGTTTCATGAAAAATTGCAAGTTTGAGCAAAATTCACTGTGTAAGTCCCTTCAGCGAAGTCAAGCTGCTGGCTAAAAACAAACCTCTTTACAACTTACGTACTCACCAATATTAAGTAATTGCAACCACCTTGCTCCATGTCCTGTCACAGTCAACGTTAATGTGGTTTAAAATTATATGGCCTCACTCACTACAAGCTGGGAATGTATAGACACAACCATAGGAATAATCATACTTGTCCTTCTTACCATTACTTAGTTTTTGTGCTCACATGAGTGATAGCCACAAGCCCACCACTATTTAGGCAAACTATTGGCATGATTGCACTGTATAGACATTATAATTCTTTACCTATTCATCTAAATGCATTGTGGTCATCTGGTTTCTGCCGTATGCTACGAGCTCACTGAGGATGTGGGGAAGTGTATCTTTATCAAGTTCCTGCAGCTCCACATTTGTTTCCACTTGATGGAGTAGTGGTTTTGGGGAGGGGGATGGTACCCTGAAAAAGTGAACCGTGTGTTATTTTCCTATAGCCTATTTTCCTAACTCCCAGTTTGCTCTTCTTATTTTACCTCTCAGTTTCTTTCCCTTGATCAGGTTCCTGTAGTTCCACGCTCGGTTCAACTTCTGGGAGTAGTGGTTTTGTGGAGGGAGATGGAACCCTGCAGAAACTGACCACCACACACAACTCACTCGTTCACTCACTCACATACGAGACAACGTGTCAAGTGCTATATTGCGTTAGCTTACACTGATCTGACATTGTAGACTGTGAAATTGATGGTGCAGCAGATGAGAAGAATAAGAATTACTGCCACAACCACTATCGCCAGCCAGGCAAACCAGGGAATGTCCACCCCTGCACCATGGACAGAGAACAGTGAGAGTGGATAAAGGAACTGAGGGATAAAACAGGGAGAGCGAGTGGGGAGAGGTTAACAAGGCTGGAAAAATCCAATACACACCGTTTTCCTCGTCTTCGGCATCCTCCTCCGGCTCTCCTGACCCTAGGCCCTGCAGAAAGAAAGTGGGTGGGGCTCGTAGCACAGGAGACGCCAATCTGTATTCGAGTGCGTGCATCATACCTGACAGGACGGGTACGTAAACACTAGTAAGATAGCCACAAGTGAGATCCACCAGTAGGTACGGAAAGTCATTAGATCCATCGTGCATCTACTGTACTCTCCAGTCAGCCAGCTGAGGATCAGCCACGCCCCTATTTGTTTACGCACTCTGTGTATATGTGCGCGTGCCTAGAGTGGACACTGGGTACAACATTCAATGGTGAATATTTAATGCAAATTAAAATATTATTCAATGGCTTATGACGTGTTCGTTATTGAGTCGGTGTGTACGGACTTGGTGTGTACGGAGTGGGCAGTGTATCGACTGTGGAGGAAGGGCTGACTCTGGTGCTGATCTCTGCTGTGCTGTGCAAGACGTGTCGGAGGAGGGGGGCCAGGGAGCTGAGGGGAGAGCCGGCTGCCTGGAGTCTCTCGAGAGTATACCCCTCCTCATCATCCTCGTCCTCGTTACTGTGGTAGGCGGAGCTGAGGCTGTCCACCTCAGAGTCCTCCGAGCCCTCCTCTTCAAACTTTCGCGGAGAGTCCACGCTGAGGAGTTCGTCGTTGGCAGCATCTACTCTCTCCTCCAGGAAGGCTCTAATGGCAGGACTGTTTGGTCGAAGGTCCTCATCCTCTTCCTCTCCATCGACTTCATCTCTCTCTTGTGGTGCAGGGAGTTTGAATCTGTACTTCTCTGCCGTTTTCTTCACCTCATCGCCCCTGCCTCTACTGCTCGTCTGGCTGGTCTTGCTCACGTGGCTTGTCTTGCTGACTGGGCTGTCTTTAGAGCTGGCTGATTTTGAAGGCTGTGGCGAGGGTTTCTCAGACTCACACTTGACGACCATCGGTACCCAGTCTATCTCGTTTGCATCCACCTCCCCTCCCCCCTGTTCGTTACTGATAATGAAGGCCTGGCTCGGTACAAGGAACTCTGTTAGTTCCTGGCTGTGGCTGCCCATTTTCTCCTTGTCGTCTCTGACCAGGTATGTCCTCTGCTTCTTCCGTCTTCTCCACATGCACACACCAGCTGCAAGAAAAGCAGGCACACTGTGATCGTGGCGCTTGAAACTTAACTACTCAGCTCTGAATAATGCACAGCAACCAGCACCCTCATATCCATGAAAAATACTTACCACAAAGGCCTACAGTTGCCACAACCACTATCACAAAAACGCTTCCACCGGCAATGACATAGGGTAAGAACTGGACCATCTCCTGTTCGTGAGGACAGGGGCGGCCGGACACTGTCTCCCTGCCAGAGCAGAGGCACTGGTAGCTGCCATTGCTCGTCTCCTTGCACACCCCTCCACCCCCACAGGGATCCAGGTAGCAAGGACTGAGACTGCAACCCTCTGTCACTCCATGGCCACCTTCTCCTGACCCTTCATAGAGGACACTGGCAAACTCATTACCAGCACTGGAAGTCGGTAGAGTGACTCGGTTGATTCGGACGTCTTGGAGACAGCCTGTGAACCAGGACGAGGCCGGAACGAAGGGGCTGCCCCCTGTGTAGATCTCAGAGGAGAGTGTCTCTAGAGTGAGAGGTGTTCCTGGAGGGAGGGAGAGGGAGGTGGTGTTGGAGTCCACAGAGAGGTCCAGGTGTCCTCCTCTGCGGTGGAACACCAGACTGTGGCTCTCAGAGTCACTCAGCAGGGGAGTGGGCAGTGTTAGCTTCGTCTCCACTGTTTCTTCACTAAGACTGAGGTGGACAACCACCTGACCTGATTCCAGCTGCAGTATATAGACACAGAATGCAAGTATATACACATTATTTTGGTTATATACAGTATTAGTATCCACTCTTATACTGCTATGCCAGACCCAAATTACCCGGGGAACTCGATGCACAACCCTCAGAAGGTCCATGACACATAACCTAACACTGTCCTTCTGTTCTTAGCATTTGCTTTTCAAACCTCACCACTATGTAGAGATACTCTGCTCCATCCTCGCTGTACATCCCAAAGAGGAAGCCATAGGGGAGGGTGGTACGTAGCGAGAGAGAGACTGTGTCCTCGTAGCTGGACCTCAGCTGGCCTCCAGTCTGTCTTCTCAGTCTCAATCCCTCCTCTGTCAGGGCATAGCGGGCATACCCACTGCCAAAGAACGACAGACTGGGAGCTCCTGCAGAGAGTAACATATTGATGTATGTATATAGCATGGTGTTCATTGAGCGTAAAACAAAACCAAAGATAGAGTTATGAATTCATGGAAGGCCTGGGAATGAACTCATGGAAGGGAACGAGGCTAATAAGTTGGGGTGATGAATCTTATTATTAGGGGCTCCCATGCGTAGCGAAGCAGATGAATAATAGTCATAGTGCAGTGGGTTTGTGCTGACCAGTATCACAGAGGTCCCCAGAGAGGAGCGGAGGGCAGTCACAGAGGGCCCTGGTCCAAGTGGGAACACACTCTCCTCCTCCACACTCTCCCCCAGAGCACCCCTCTTCCAGCTGCAGTAGTAATGTGGGTGGCGGTGAAGGTGCAGCCAAAGGACATGTCACTCACAAACTTAACTAACTAAAGGATCATCCCTCGGGGGCAAAACTTGAATTCTTGCTTTTACATTCACATATCACATGATAATCATCAAGTGTTGTCACATGACTACATAGCTACCATGGTACACAGTCTTTTGAGTAGGGGGAGGTGTGTGACATAGCGCTAGTGGAGCATGTGTATATGTAGGAGCTAGCTGTACCTGGGGACATCCGGACTGGGAGTTGCTCTGGTCAAAGTGGGAGTTTAGGTCCAGCAGACGTCCATTCACCAGAACCTGTCTCACGCAGGCAGTGATGGCGGTACTGGAGACATGAGAGGGAGAAGGGGAGGGAGCTCCTCCCAGCCACAGGGGAAGACCAAGGTCTAGGAAACTGAAAGGAGAGAGAAAGGCAGTCGCAGGATCTGATGTACATCACTGTTTTAACACTTATCACGAATTTGCTTCCTTTCTTGACAAAAATGTGATGAAAGTGTGTGTTGCATGCCTATGCGACTGCATGTTAAAGGTGTCATGCTATATTACTTGTGGGTCTTAAATGTGGCACCTGGAGTCTCCGAGAGTGTCTGCACTGAGATGACAGCCAGCAGTTGTTCCTATCACCTCGTCCAGATCATGACACCAGTCAAGTGTCACCGATGTTCTCTGGAGGACAGAGAAGGGATGGTGGAGAAAAAGAAGAAGGGCAAGAAAGGGGACGGATGATGTCATGGAAGGATTAAAAGGGGTGTGAAGGGAGGTTGTTGGGGAGATGCATCAATGTAGTGGACTGAGGTTACATGTGAGGTTCTGAGTAACTGCTTAGTATTCATGGTCAACCATGCACTGCTGATGAATAAGTTCATAACCAGCAGGCGTCAATGTTTACTTTACCTACATGTCTATACACACATTGACTCAATGAATACAGTCATCAAACAAATAAACATGCACTACTTCCTTCGATGGGCCAAGCATTGCACAATGCTAGCTATTATGGCCAGTGGTTTGATGTGCTCCCAGGAGAGCCATGTTGTGTGGAATGAAGGGTTCACAATATTGCTTACATTCGTAAGATGCTTTCAGAATATTTGAGGTACACAGAAAGACACAACTGCACTTCCATAATAAACATGCACTGTGTGTACCAAACAATAGAATGCAAATTGTGCATGGTTGAATACAGACAGCCAAACAACCCATGTACATACCTTCTCAATGATATTGATGGTGACTTGGTGCCACTGTCCATCACTGACCCAGAGATCTGGCACCAGGCGTACTCTATCATCTCCGTGAGACAACCCCACTGCCAGTCGTCCTCCCTCCACCTCAACCGATATGAAATCCAGACTCTCTCCAGACTGCAGCTGGGTGTTGTACAGTAGGAGACCGTCAGAGGACACAGTACTGAACTCAAACTCTATCCTCCCTTTAGCACTGAGGTGTAGGGATGGGTACGCTCTGTAGGTAGCTCCTGATGGCGATGCTGTGAAACTGGCGGTCACGAGTTGACAGTTTGCTCCATCGAAACCACTGGTACACACGCAACCAAATCCTCCACCTTCCAGAGCTATGCATGAACCTCCGTTGAAGCATTCTACGTCGCTACACGTGTTCTCCAGCTCACAGGCTGTCCCAGTGTGGGTTGGTGGACAAATGCAGTGGTAATCACCCCCACCTGTCCCCTCCACACATGTTCCTCCATTCTCACAGAGAGTCTGGTCACACTGAGGGGTTGGGGTCTGACAGAAGTCTCCAGAGAGTCCAGTGGGGCACCACACCTCACAATGGTACCCAGACACCTGTTGGGACTCACACTCACACTCATAGCCATTGATTCCGTCTCTACACACACCGTTAACGCAGGGATTAGAGGAGCAGTCGTCGATATTGATCTGGCAGTTGGTTCCAGTGAACCCTGGTGAGCAGGTGCAGATGTAGTTGTCATTCATCAGGCTGCACTCCCCACCGTGTAGGCAGGGGTTAGAGTCACACTGTGTCACAAGAGGAGACACAATCTCACAGTTGTCTCCAGAATAGTTGGCTGGACACGAACAAGTGTAGGAGTGGAGACCATATGTGCAGTTACCAGTGAAACATGGATAGTTGTCCTCGGAGCAGAGATTCACAGGATGGACCTCATATTCACAGCTGTCTCCAGAATAGCCTCTTCTACACTCACACTTGTAGTCACTGCTGTCACTGACATCAGAGCACCTACCACCATTGAGACAGGGGCTGGAGTCACACCCACTGATAAACTCCCCACAGTTCTCTCCAGTGTAAGGTGGCAGGCAGTAGCACTGGTAGGAACCATACAGACCAGGGGCACACATCCCACCATTGAGACAAGGTTCTAGCTCACAGTTGTCAATCTGCCAGCGGCACAAGGGGCCGGTGAACCCCACACTACAAGAGCAAACGGGCCCAGAGGTTGAGTCGGTACACACGGACCCATTGTAGCAAGGATTTCCAGCACAGCCTTGCGGTTCAGACTCAGTTTCACAGAGAGTGCCAGAGTGGGTTTCAGGGCAGAGGCAGGTGAATAAGTCACGTCCAGGGCTGCAGGTCCCTCCGTTCTGACAGGGGCTATTATCACATGTGGGAGCAGTTCTGAAGTAGTGGTACTGACACTCTGGGCCATAGTAGCCGGGCAGACAGAGGCAGGAGTGAGAGCCGGGGATGTCCCTGCAATCAGCTCCATTCTGACAGGTATTGCTGGAGCAACCATTGGGGGAGCTACTGCAGTCCTCTCCACTGGTCCCTGGAGGACACTGACACCTGTAGCCATTTACCTCATCAATACACTCTGGCACCAAAGTGGCAGGGATTGCTGTAGCAGTCATTGAAATTGATGGAGCAATTCTCCCCTGATGTCCCGGGAATACACTCACACTCAAATCCCAACTCAATGACAGGGGCTACCAGGACAAACGAGGGTGAAGTAGCCGTCACTGAACTCTCCAGGACAGTCTTTGTGGGTGTACAGCTAGCCTGACTGGCACAGGGTTCACTGGAGCAAGGGTCAGTGGGCAGAGCTGACAACTCATAGCCAAGCATTGACTGAAACCGTTCTCTCTCTGTGTACAGAGTCTGTAAGACGAACGCTGGGTCGAAATATGAGTTGCTACCATTCTTTGCCAAGAACGAGACATCCACAGTGTTAGTAGAGTCGTGGTAGCCATCTTGGACACTGAGAATAGTCAGCATTTGTCTGTCTATCTTTAGTATGGTCGAGAGAGTATCAGGGAATGAGGTGTAGGCAGTGGTCAAATAGCTACCTGAGCTCATTGCTAGAGACACTGTAATGAGAGACTCAGTCGGGATATCTGAGGCAGAAATGTGCTCAACGTCTATTTCAACAGTTGAAAAGATGCCCTGGTTGGTCTCTTTTACTCTAATGCTGTAGTCATTCTCAGGGGTATTGCCTTTGTTCAGGAGAAGCTGGCATTCAGGTATATCGACAATGAAGAAACTACCGACATTCTGGCTCTGGACAGTGGAACAGTCACTGAAGGTTGATGTTGCATCAGGATCGTCGAAGTAGTAATGAATTGACTGATCGTCTCGAAGATAACCATCTAGTAGAAGCATAACTACGTTCCATTGGCTGTCATTTGCTGGGGGGTTATCATCAACATCTGTTACTGTAATAACACAGGTCCCTGTGCCGCTAAGTGGGACACCCCCTTGATCAGCAGCTGTAATTACGAGAGTGTAAGTGTCCTGTTCTTCTCGGTCCAGCTCAACAGTCGAACTGAGCACACCAGTGGTTGAATTGATGGAGAATCTCCTTTCAACGTTTCCCGATTCAATCGCATACACAAAACTGTCTCCAAAGTCAGGATCGGAGGCCAGGACATGGAGAATGCTGCCTACTGGGGCAGAGTTCTCCTCCACACTCCCTCTGTAGAGAGGCTGGGAGAAAGACGGGACTACATCGTCAATGTTTATCAACGTGATGTTGTGAAGCAGTGTGGAGCAGAGAGTTGGAGTTCCCCGGTCGCACACTTGGAGAACTAGATTGTAGCTGTCTTTGCTCTCGTAGTCCAATTGATGAGCTATTGTTACAACTGCATCGTTGCCGGTGGCGGCTACTGCAAAGTGTCCATCGGGATCACCACCACAGATGGCAAACACAATCTCTGAGTTAGTCCCGGAATCTCCATCACTTGCTGCCATCCGGAGAAGGACAGTACCTTCTGAGGTGTCTTCGTGTATGGCAAGGCCTAGAGGTGTCCCTGTGATCTCTACAACTGGTGTGTGGTCGTTTCTGTCCAAAACCTCTATCTCGAGTGTGGCATGAGTATCTCTTTCGTGTATGGAGTCAGCTACAGAGAAAGTTAGAGTGAAAGATCCCTCTAGTGGATTCTCATAGTCCAGTGTGTGAGCAAGTCTGATCACTCCTGTTGTATTGTCCAAAGTAAAGATGTGGCCACTCTCAGGTTCTGAAGAAAGCAGAGTGAATGTTAGCTCTGCATTTACTCCTTCGTCCAGATCAACTGCTAGTAATTGAAAAATGTCCGTGTTGATAACCAAGTTTTCAAATATTCGTGTGTACATGTACGGGTATGGGAAGTAAGGGATATTATCATTCTCGTCACCAATCTTCACCTGAAATGTTGTAACAGTGGACAGCTGTGCATCTTCGCCCATATCCATTGCTTCAACTACCAATGTGTAAGAAGATGCTGCTTCTCTGTCATACTTCACGTATGTAGTAATGTTCCCAGTAGATGGATCGATTGTGAACCCATCCTCTCCCCCACTCCTAAGGGCGTAGACAATTTCTCCATTGCGGCCAAAGTCAGAGTCATAGGCGGTCACAGTACCTACATGCACTCCATCTGGACCAGGGGAAATGTTCTCTGGCACAACCATTGGATCAATATTAGGAAAACGAGGCACACAGTCATTTTCATCAGTGATACTGATGGTAACATTGGCAGTGGCTAAAAGACCTCCTTCAGCTACGACTGCAAAGGTGAAAATTCCATCCTGGAACTCCTCCCGATCAATGTTCCCTGAGACAGTTAAGACTCCACTGTCAGTGATGGAGAGTCTGCCCTCAGTTGTACCAGATAGCCAGTAGGAAACACTGGGAGTGTCCACATCATCTGCTGACACCTCTAGAACTGTGGTTCCAAGAGGCAAATTCTCCGTGATGGTTGTTGAGTAAGATTGTTGAGTGAAGACCGGTGGCTCATCGTCAATATTCAACACATTGATGGTGAGGTCGGTGGTATTAGTGTTCATTCCATCTGAGACCTGAATAGTAAGTGTGATTGTTGGCATTTCTTCGAAATCTAAGGATTGGACTAACACTATTTCACCATTTTCCCTTAGCATGAAATTCTGATTATCGCCATTTGTTAGACTGTAGTATATTTCGCTCGGATCGCTGTTTATATCTTCATCAATGGCTGAGAAGGTTGTTATGGTTGTGTGTAATGGTGTATCTTCAGACAGGGAGATAGAATGTGGAGTTGAAGCAGCAAATGATGGCGCATTGTCATTCAAATCAAGAACTGAGACAGTAACAATAGCTAGTCCACTCTGTCTCATATTCGTGGAGCATACATCAGGATTCACAGGGTTTGGATTGTTGGCATTAATAAATAGCGAAATTGCGACCTGTTACTTCTTCCGCATCAATTTCCATGTTAGTTAAGATGTCTCCACTGTTTGTTATCTGAAACAAATCATTAGCAAAACTTAAGGAATAGATTATATCTCCATTCGTTCCACTGTCAGGATCGGTTGCTGAAACACGAGCCACTATTGAGCCAATTGGTGAGTTTTCAGAAACAGTGTACCCCATACCATTAGACTGAAACTCTGGTGGATTATCATCATAATCCAACACCGTGATCTCAACTGTTGCTATACTGCTCACACTGGTCTCACCTGAAAGTGTTTGTGCTGTTACAGAGAAAGTGAACTTGGAATTAGGGAGTCTTTCATAATCAGGAAGAGTTTGTGAAGAAACTCTGATATTACCGTCAGTGGGATTTATGGTGAACACATCTTCACTGTTACTGCCGTACAGGGATCCAGATACAAGTGTAAAATATGTGGCAGTACCTTCAACTGTGGAAACCTGTAATACAGGCGTTGAGACTTGAAGGTTCTCACAGATAGTTGTACTGTAGAGTGATTGATTGAATCTTATACTGTCACTGGTCACAACCACTGTAAAATTTACTACTGAAGACAGTGGTAGAGATGCATCAGGATTTCTAGCTTCAAGAGTGAATGAGTAAGATTCCTCAGACTCCAGTGTTTCAGAGGCCACTGTTATCACGCCACTAGCAGGGTCTATAGCAAAGTCCTGAGAAGGTTGCAACGCATACTCTATTACTGCATTAGGTCCACTGTCTGCGTCTTCTGCTAGCAGTTGAGCTACAAACATTCCAACTGTAGGATTTTCAGGTATTCGCACATGGAAGCCTGGATAGTCAAGGAACACTGGTGGATGATCATTTACATCAAGCACAGTGATGTTGAGTAGGCAATAATCTTGTCTGTTGCTCAAGTCCCTAGCTATCGCATCGATCAAGTAAGATTTCTTACTCTCATAGTCAAGTATAACACCTTCTGATACAGTCACTTCACCAGACTGAGGATCCAGTGAGAACTCAGTGCTGCCACCGAGAAAGGAATATGTGATGTCACCATAGACACCGAAATCATCATCCGTGGCCTGAAGGGTCGTGACAAGTGTCCCAGGAGGAGAACCCTCCAATACCGTACCCTCACATGGAGCACTAAACTGAGGGCTGTGGGTGTTTGTACTGCCCACATTGATCACAACATCAACATAGGATTCACACGACGGATCATCACTGGCAAACACCCTCAGGGTGTACTTGTTTGGAGAATTGTCCAAGAGAGTGATCGTCCCAGTATTAGCATCGAAGCTCAAGGCTTGTGGTATCACTTGACTGGATTCAAGCCGGTAACTGGTGCTGTTGATGTTGTCTGGATCTACTGCCTGCAGAGTTGCCACTACCGGCCCAACATCAGGAGAGAATGTGATGGGAAGGTAAGTACTCTGAAAAACAGGGCACTCGTCGTCTTCATTCGCCACCCTCACCACCACAATTACAGTGGACACTAGCACAGGGTCACCCCCATCAGAAGCCATAACTGTGAATCTATGCTCACTCTCCCATTCATAGTCAAATTCAGCCAATGTAGAAACTTCCCCAGAGCCCCTATCTATCTCAAACCCACTATCAGACTCCGCAATGGAATATTCTATCACTTGGTTTAAACCAGAGTCTAGGTCTACTGCTGATACTGTAAGAACACTAGAGCCTATTGGAGCACTCTCTGTGACACTAGCATCATACATCACCACTGGGAAGTAGGGACGGTTGTCGTTTTCATCAAAAACCGTTACCTCCACACTGACCCTGGCCCGAGCTACACCATCGCTGTACTCTATAGTGAGACTATAACCAGGGGTTGTCTCGTAGTCCAGTTCCCTAGCCACTGTCAAGACTCCTGTAGTGGCATTGACAATGATATCATTGCCTGCATTCCCTGATATGATGGCATAGCTGTGAGCCCCACTTGCTGTGTCTAGGGAGAACGCATGCACTATTCCAAACAGCGACCCGACTAGAGTATACTCCGAGAGTGTAAAGCTGAACGTATCCCTCTCAAAGACCGGTAGTACCTTGTAATCTGGTTCTGCTATGACAGTTAACTCAGCTTGGACACCCTCTGACCCTAACTCAGCCTCTACCTGAAGTACCCAACTTTGCAGTGGTAGGTATTGAAGATTAACCAAGTCCCCAGTGAGGGCATTGAGTTCAAATAAGTTGGGGTTGTAGCTGTGTTCTACTAGACTGTACCTGATACCCTCGGGGGTTCTGAATGTGCTATTGATTGCCAGTAATGTGTAGATGACGCTGCCTGGTGGAGCAGCGAGAGAAACATGGGCTATGAATTGCGGTTGGCCAAGAAATTGCAGTGTTTGGGTGCCACTAGTTCTTAGCAACATTGAGCTCAAGAACAGAACTCCTGATAAAACCTTTCCTAGCTGCGTTAGAGGCTGCATTGTATGATTCTCTGGGGAGTGTGGTTTACACCTGTAGGATATGAAGTTCAAACTTTGGGCAAGCGCTGCATATAGCTATTGCACTATCCCGTACCTACAGAATATGCAGAAAGGCTATTACACACTGAGAAGGGTGTGCTAGGTATCAAACCAGTGCACTAAAGGTGGGCGTAGCTCAACTGGCTCGCCCCAACGTTCAGGCTCGCCTTTTCTAGTTGTACTATAGTGTAGCATACGTATATACCTGCATCTCTAACTGCGTACATTCATTCATAAGGACTTACAGATGCACGAAACTTCTCTTGATCTCTCTTCTCTCTCTCTGGGGCGTATAGCTACAAAGATTGGCCAACTGCAATCTCTCTTTGTGTGCGCGCGCCTGCCGGGCTGCAATCAACAAACTGACTTCCGGTATGTGAAACCACGCCCATATAATTACTGTGGCAAAATGAGAACGACCTCTCTGTTTTTTCTAGCTCGTGGGAGCAAGGCTGACTGGCATAGAGCTAAAGTAAGAGTTTCATACCTCATTAATAAATTCACTACTGCCATTTTCCCACCGAATTTCTCTAGGATCGAAAGTTCATTGACTGGAAGAAGGTGAAAGTGATTGGAGGCAAAGGAGGAGATGGTTGCGTCAGTTTCATCAGGTCTGCCAGTGGCTAATTTATGCCTCAGATGTGGTTTCTAAAGTTGTCGCTGCATGTAGGACACGTCGTATCAAGTTTGGTTCGTCAGACGGAGGTGATGGAGGGGCAGGGGGAAGTGTGGTGGTGGTTGCAGAGCCGTCAGTACGCAGTCTGTCAGGTCTGAGGCCTCACTACCGGGGCAGGAATGGGGACAGGGGAAGTGGTGGGTACAGGCTTGGAACCTCTGGGAGAACTGCTATCATAAGGTAGTCAGCTTCATGCCCAAACTTCTGTGTTTGATCAAAACATTGTGGATGCGCTGCATTTAAAAAATGGCCGAATTATTTAGTGTACTGATTCATTAAGCTGTGAAACTGAGATATTTTGAGCCACAAACTATAACAAAGTCTATCTATCAATAGGTCATCAGCCGTGCATACTAATCATGAGTGTGTTGACTACATGTAAACCACATGTGATATGAAGGTGCCCCTGGGGACAGTGGTGAGAGATTCGGCCACAGGATCAGTATTGAGGGACCTGCTGGAGGAGGAGAAGGTCTGTGTACTGGCCGAGGGAGGGGAGGGAGGGGTGGGGAATGCTGCATTCGCCACGGCTGCCTCCAGACGCACCAGAGAGTTTACAGAGGGTGGTCCAGGGGAGGAGAGAGAGGTGGAGCTGGAACTGAAGACTATTGCTGATGTAGGCATGGTGAGTCTGTTTCAGAGGAGCAGGTATATACATTGTACAATTTTTACTACTGGTTTCTCAAAACACTGGTAAGGAACACGTATTCATGAAGCAACGGTCATTTCTCTAAAGTAATGTGTGACATAAGTCAAACCAGGAGATGTTTTCAACGTTCAGTGCTGGTGCTTGATCTAGCCATGCCAAAACAGCGACCATATAGAACCAGAGACCACACACCAACAGCAATAGGCGGTCCAAAAAAGTGGTGTCTTACCTCCCAGATTGTGGCATGAGACAGGGGTTATCAAGCATCTTCTTGTTTTTATTTTAGACATTCATTTAAGTGAAGACATTCACTGTAAGTTTAATGAGAAGTGTCTTCTATAGTTGGGGGTTTTGTTGGTGTGTATACAAAGGCTTTGCACACGCCTAAAGATTAACACACACGTGTACAAACATAGTCTATCTCGCAGCATTAAAAATAGGTAAGAGTTCTTTGGAACCCTGGGATCTCCTTAGATCCCCTAATGACTGAGGCGTTTGTGTTCATGGACAGGTCGGATTCCCTAATGCAGGCAAGTCAACTCTTCTGCGGGCAATTTCTCGAGCCAAACCACGCGTTGCCTCGTATCCCTTCACCACCCTCAACCCCCACATTGGGATGGTAGAGACCAGCAATGGGGCTCAGGTAGCTGGTCAGTAACACAACCTCTCTATATAATACTTTCTCTAGCTACCTCTCTGCTCTGCCCTACTATAGTAGCTGACATCCCTGGCCTTGTACCCGGAGCTCACCTGAACAAAGGACTGGGATTGTCATTTCTGAGACACGTGGAGCGCTGCAAGTCACTCGTGTACATACTGGACGTCTCCAGCAGTGAGCATGACATGGTCACTCAGCTGCGCATACTGCAGAACGAGCTAGACTGTTACCAACCTGGCATGAACCAATGTGCCAGACTCGTTGTGGCCAACAAGATGGATGTTTTGGACAGAGTGGGGAATGAGAGTATGAGCTCACTGGCGCGGGTGACTAGACTGCCTGTTTTGCCGGTGTCCGCACTCCACGGCTGGAACATTGATGTACTCATGAAAGCACTCACAACTGACAATCAAAGTTATGCAGTGTAACTTTTATATTACAAAGATATCACTTTTTCTAAATGGGATATAAAGATGTTACAGCTACTACAATGATAAAAACTCAAGATACTATTAAAATGCGGTACGATAGATATTAACTAAGTAAAGCTACTATATTATCGTTTAAGTTTCACACGATACGACTAAAACATCTATATTACGGACAACATACTATAAAATAGATATAAAAAGGACTGTAATATATATGGTTAAAAATATTATATCGTTTCAGTTTTGCACGATACGAGTAAAACAACTATGTATTTTTTATAGTGTTATGGGCAATGAGAGTTGTAAATATTCAATGTGGAAATTCATCACCTCGTACAAAACACCCTCTTTTCCTGTAGTGCTCAATCAGTTTCTTCCAGATCCTGTCATACTTGAGCACATTCTCATTGCCTATAGTAGCAGTGAATTAGCTACTAGGTACATTCTACACTATAGTTGTTCCACTCACCAACAATGACCAGACCAAACTTGGAGCGTGTAATTCCGACACAGATCCTGTGGGGTCGGCCACAAACCCCAGGTTCTTCCTGATCCAGCCAATGTCAGCTGTCCTCCCCCTCCTCTCCTGTCATCATCCTCCGAGACCTCACCCGTGGACAGTAACACCACCCCATACTCACTTCCTGCAAACACATGTGATAATCACCATAAGAGCAGTAACATGACCAGCGAGCTCACCTTGACTCTCAGTAATAGTTTTGACTTGAATATTGTTATTAAGCTTCCTTCCCTGCCTTCTTCTCTGTTGTTCAATTTTCTTCTTCAGTTCTTCACTGATAGCCTCTTTTTGGGCTGAGTAAGGTGTCAGAATGGCTATTTCACTGTTGGGTACTCTGTAATGGCAGACCAGTTTCTCTGCAATCTCCACCTGATGAGAATTTTAATTAACATGGGATGAGGTTTAGGGATTTTCTTGAGTTACTCACAATTTTCTTGGCCTCTGTCATGTTGAACTTTGACTGTGAGCTACTTCCTCTTGACCCAATGTGTCCAGTCTCTTCCTCTCCCTCCACTTGACAGAAGCCAATGGGTGAGTCATGTTTCGGCCAGAAGTGGTCAAGTTCAGGCCACTCTGTCTTCTCATAACAGATGGATCTGTTTTGAGTCTTCCATTGTAGAATGCTTTTGAGGGAAATTCGCATATTGCAGGGTGCTGTAAGAAGAGTAGATTGTTAATGCTTGGTACTCGGGTTGGTGAAGCAAGTAATGTGCCATGTGAAGGTTTTCTAGCCCGTTGTGAACCATATTTCAGACTGATTTCTACCTAAAACTTGTGTGTAACCAGATGGTTTGTGCTTGCTGAATGCATACATCAATGAAAGTTTGCTGATTGATTCACAAGGAAGAGTAGTTCCGATGGATACTGTGTCTGGGGCTAGAGTTCTAAAGGGAGTTGAACTGTGTGTATGCCAGCAGCCCCAACCTCTTCTTCCCGGGAACATACATTAATGAGTGGTTACTGCCATTGCTGCCACCCCCACAACTAAAACCACCTATTTAGCGAGCAGAGTGAGGCTAGTCTGAATACGCGATACTGTATCAAACGATAGTGTTGTTGGACATACCGTAATGTTTACATTTTGCACTTGTGTATGCCGCGCACGTGTGACCAGCTCTCACATCCAGTCGCTAAATTCCGTGTGACCAGCTTTCGCATTCGCTCGCTGCATTGTGTTCATTATTTAGTATACTACTCGACTAGAGTGTGCAACAGTCAATAAGTTGGGTGACTCTGCATACCCTTATAATTATTCAGTACACTTGGCAACCTCATACTCACCATTCTGTACTGTGTCTCCAGCACATGAATTGGATGTCTTTTCGTGGCATATCTTTCAAAGAGAGATTTTCCCAGACCCATCTTTTCAGCATCCTTGGACTGGATGACTGCCTGCAACTGCTGGTGGTCTCCTATTAGAACCACGTGTTCTGCTCTACAGATGGGCACCATACACTCTGGCTCGGTGGCCATGGCACACTCATCGATGATACAGTACTTTGGCTGGAGTGTGCTTGTGAGTCGGTGACTGGCTGCCTCATTGCACGTGCATAAAACAATATTTATCCCACTTTTGAGCACTTTTTCTTCTGCATCAGCTTTCATTTTCCTGTATTGCACAATATCATCAACGCTTGGGACTCTGCCATCACGGTGCAAATCTTGGAATCGCCTTTCTTTCTCACTAATATTTGTTTGTTTTCCCTTCTTATTCTGTGGTGCAAGGCGTATTCTGCATGCCTTTTGTCACAACGAGCACTTGGTTTTATGTGTAGAAAAACGTCACCATCGAGTTCAGCTCCACGAAAGTCTGTCTTTTTCCAAAGCCTTACTAAACACTCGAATTATTTTTATTTTTCCTTTGCCGGCTGGGGTGATTCAGAGCTCAGGCATATTTCTGTTGAAATGGCAAGTAAGATAATTATAGCTACATGCTTAGGTTCACTACTTGCTACTACTGCACAACTTACCCAGTACAACATTCACAGACTGCTGTGGTTGGGCCACAGTACATGACACCACTGTTTATTGTCTTTCCCAGGAGAGTGCTCCGCGCAAAGCCTCATGGCAAGAGCATAAGCAATATGGGCACCAGTCACACTCTTTCCTGTGCCTACAAATGTATGTTCAATGGCAAGCATTTACCCCACTGAGCTGTACACATCTATACCTGGAGCGCTTGAATCATGGTGAATTTGTTCCTCCATGCCAGATCAATAGCCTGTTTTGCTGGTAGACATTAAGCCTCCTCTTATCCTTCAGTGGCCAGTAGGATCTGGCCACAGTTACTTTCACTTCACCTGGCGACAGAACTTCTTCCCTTCCTCGAGTTGTGTTCTATGCAATGTGTAAACATAATCTTATTTCATGTCACTCCATATTATACATACTTGAAGAAGTGATGTAGGTTCCCAATGCAACTCTCTGTGCAAGCTCTGTTCCGCTAGAAATATTCCTCAATGAGCGGTATATTCTCCTACGAAAATGAAATACATAATTATAGCTATCTCTTTTGTGTTAATATCAACCTACCTCTGAGGCAAAGATGAATGGATCAGTTGAATCTCACACGAAGCGTCTCCTGCCAGTATCATATCATGAACCTGCAAGCTTATGTAGTTGGACTCTTTGAGTACAAACTTCATGTAGATGTCTGCTTTTGGTGCCATGCCTTCGGTCAAATTCACGCTATGGATTACCATGTGGGAACACATATCTGTCTGGTGATCACTGCTACTGAGTCTCATGCACACCAAGTCTCCCACTGACATTTTAAAGTTGTAGAAGAAGGAGAATTGCGTAAATTCAGTCGAAAGACTCATCAAAGCCCCATTTTTGTCTGCATCGTTGCTTTCCTTCATTACGTAGTAAGTGTCGCCAGAGGAGCTGGTGCAGAGCTGGAAATCCGGCCATTGGAGCTCCACATCTCTAATTAGGAGGAGCTCACTCTCTTTCACACTGGTCAAGGCTGACTCAGACAGTACGAGTGGCTCCCAGGAGTTGACGTACTCTGTCAGGGAATCATATTTCTCTTTTGAGGCATGTTGAGTTATCTTCCCAACGAAGCACGTTTCAGGATCTCTGTTGTGGTGGACGCATATCTGAAGGCCTGGACCTACCTCTAGCAACTGTATGGCTGGTTCCTGTGTCAGACCCTTCTTTCCCTGTGTGGCACACAGCTGAGCCTTCATCACATCAAACAGCTTCAGTTCCTTGGTCAGAGTGTAGACAAGGAGAGTGGACTTCCGGTCTTTGTGGGGAATGGGGTTGCTTTCTTCTGCAGAAGGAAGATTGCAAAGAATTGCATCGCTGTTGATTTCTACACTGTTCTGTCCTTTCATTGTGCACTTTTGCAACATCTTCCAAGTCTTAGTGGGGATTGCTACCACATTGCTTTTGATCATGATATTGACTGTTTTCTTTACAAGACATTTGAACTCGTCAGGTGAATAGAAGCTTAGTTGGCTCAGTTGGGCATTTTCATCTGGTCTAGGGCATATTTCAACCTTTTCAGGGTCTAGGAACCTGGCAGGCGTACCATTCATTGAGCACAGCTTCACTTTCCACTGATACGGCATTTTGGGCTCTAACTCTGCAGACCCCATCTTTACTGTAGAGTAGTTTCTCTGAAGCTGCTGTGTTGTGATTTCTCTTGCTTTTGGACCAAGACGAAGTTCAACGTCGGTAAAGCAGAGGGAAAATTTCTGTTGCTTGATGTCCATTTCAGAGATGACACAATCGTACATCACCTGACTTGTCATGAGATTCTTCAAAAATCGTAGAGATTCGACATCTCTTTCATACTGGTTGGCTTTCTTTAGCATGTTTTGTGTGGATTCACACAGGCATCTGAGTTCATCAGCATTGTATACATTGGGCCTGTGGTTCAGTGCTGCGTGAAGCTGGCGTTGTATAATGACATCAATGTAGCGCCTCAGAGGTGAGGTAAAGTGAGTGTAGTGGGTACACTGGAGATCAGAGTGGCCTCCACCAGTTGTGTCACCTCTTCTGAGGACACAGTACTCTGCTGGTGACTGTAGGGATCTCAGTCGAGACTGGAGAGCCACCAGTTGAGGATGCAGGTGCTCCATTTGCACACAGTGCATTACATCCACTAACCTTTCTCTTCTCAAATTATCTAGCAAGAGTGTATGCTGTGATCGTAGCATGGCTAGTGGAGTAGAGGTAGTAACGATTGGTGGGTTTGGAAAGAGAACCTTACAGCTGGCTGAAAGGGGAAGTGCTCTCTTGTAGCTTTTGGCAAACTGCTCTAAATCTTTTCTATTGGGAGGCTTCTGTGATCGTAGGATTGTCTTATTTTTGAACTCTCTGCTTAGTTTCTTGGCAACTTGTGTGTTTGCATTTATCATGAGTTCCTCAACCAGATAGTGAGCTTCTGGATTCTTGAGTTGGTCCACCTCTCTTACTGTGAAGGCCAGTGCTGCTTCCTTCAGTCTCTTCCTTCGAAGGAACCAGGCAAACTTCCACAGACACCTTGTTAGCTCTTTCAAAGCAAGAACTGGTCCAGAAGAATTGTATTTCTGTATCTTGCCTATTAGGGATTGGGAGTAGCTAGTTTCATCTCCTATGATGAGTTCTTGTGCTTCTTTGTATGTAAGTTCAGCACATGAGGTAACACTGCTCTCCAATATTCGGAAACTTGCCAGCTCAATAGATTCGGTTTTCATTCCTTTGTCTGACACAATGAAGTCAGTAAGAACGGAAAAGGAGTTGACTCTCCTGCCAGGGTGAATGCTCCCCTTTGCTAAGACTCTGGCGGGGAACATTGGGCTGCTTATGCTGTCAGGAGCATCATAAACAGTGCAGCCCCTTTCTTTAGCTTGTTCGTCCAATTCGCTGCCCTTTTTAACAATGGAGGACAAGTCAGTAATGTGAACTCCCACAGTGTATATCTTCTTGTCTCCCCTCACGTTGACTGCACATGTTAGAGCATCATCGTGATCTGCTGACCCTTCTGGATCTATGGTGATTGCTTGTTGAAAATGTCTTCCCCTTATTCCTTCACCCTTCTCCGTAGGGTAATCGACAATTGCTGCTGGAATGCTATGCTTTCTTTTGAGCATTAACTCTTGGAAATGTTGAGATTGTGAAGGGAATGCCCCCACAATAATACCAAGGGGATAACCAAATCTTTTCTTCCACCCTAAGAACTTGACAACAAACACCATTCGAAGGGCCACCTCATGTGGGATGACATTGCAGACTCTTGGTGTGTCATTGATACTGCTGGGATCAAAGCAAACTACTCCCCTTTTCTCCTCTCGTGTGATGGTTGGTATGTTGACAAACTTCGGATAGCACTTGTCAAGTGGATAGAACTGTGTGCAGCTAAATTCACTCACTCGACAAAGAAAGGAGCTCCCAAAATGTGTTTGTTGTATTGCTCTCTCTGTTTTCTCGTCAAAGAGGACACGTTTTGCGTGTGTGTCCACCTTTACTGTGTCTCCATGAATAGATCCTCTCAGGTTAGCGTGTCCTTGTATTGGGAATGGAGCTGGGACGGATCTAGAGGAACTGCCCTTGCCTTGTTGTGGAATGAGTATTCCAGTCGACAAATAACAACATTCTCATCAGTGTGTTCATTCTCTTCCATCCAGTCTACATCTCCTCCTGGTTTACGGACAAGTTTACGTCCAGTTCTGAACTCCCTTCTGTGATTCAATTCTCTCATGTACTGGGCAACTATTGTGTCAGCATTGTGTGGTAGTTTAAAAGAAGTTGCTTCATTAATGATGCTGTGAGGAAACACCAGCTCTTGAATTTCTTTTGCAGCGTTTTTTCCTTTGGCCTCACTCTCAGGGAGTGCAAACTGGAGTGTCTCACATTGGACACATCGCTGCAGGTATTCCTTCCAGCAGTTGACCTCATATTTATCTCCGATTTGACACAGAGTGAATGGATTTCCAACGCAGCAGATGAGTGAGCGAGCCCTCGTCATGATGGTGTTGAAAACCAGCTCATGGCTTATGCTGCGAACTGGGTCAGAAGGGTCACCATTTTCGTTTGTTGGTTCGGTAGTGCTGAGAAATACTGCATCAAATTCATAGCCTAAGAGGGGAAAAACTTCACTCTTAGAAACAACAGAAATCTCTTATAGTAAATTCTCATACCTTGAATGAGGTATGTTGGTTTGACTTCGACTTTACACGGTAGGTGTTCACTATATAATCTTTTCTCCTTCATTTCCTTCCTTAGGATCTCCACCTGGTCAAAACCAACATAACAGAGACTGAACAGACTATACAAATAAACATACACACCTGTTTTCTTGTGGAAGCTAGAACTCCTACGACTTGTTTGGCGCTGCTCTTTGGCCACTGTCTGAGAAAACACTGAACTTTTTCGATGAGCACCCTTCGCCTCGTGTACATCCTCATCTGGGAGATTCTTGGAGTTCTTGTCGATGCTGGTACAGGTGAAGACCAGTGGGTAGGGAGCCAGTGGGTGTGTCTCACTGGAGCTCCGACTGAGGAGAGTGTGCTGGTAGAAGAGACTTGAGGCGAAGGCCAGGATACTGGAGTGGCAGCGGTAGTTAGTGAGAAGGGACGCTGTGTGATTCCTGATGCTGCCACCAATTTTGTACGACTTGTACAACTTGAATAGGCGCTCCAAAAGAGAGACCCCCAATTCCTGCTTTTGTGCCAAGTTACTCAGCACAGCCACCCCGGGACCAGTCTAAGAAAAAAGTCAAATTTGAATTAGTCCTGAAAGCTATTAGGTGTTGGAGACACTGACCTGTTTATGATCTCCAACAATGACAATTTTTGTTTGTTCTTTTACAACTGCCAGTGCACCAAGTGACTCTGGCTCTCTGGCCTGGGCCCCCTCATCGATCAGGATGTGGGAGAAATACAACTGCCTAGGGCTATTGACTTCAAGTCGTTTTAGGTTGGTGGCTGTGAGAAAGGTTGTCACAACTACTCGTTTCCTTGCTAGGTCGTTTATTTTGACTTGACTCATTAGTACAACTCCATCGTGGCCATACTGGATGTGATCGGCGATGTTTTGATTTGGTACTAGTCGCATGATTTTGTTTTGGTACCTTTTGTAGAGCTTACTGTATATGCTATCTGCACATTGATGCTGATAAGTACAAATCAGAATATGGGAGTTTGGATCGCAAAGCAATGCAGATGCGGCAGCAGCTAGGATGTGTGTTTTCCCAGTGCCAAATGGACCCAGGACAAGAAATGGAACTCTGGGATCTGAGGATATCATTCTCTGTAGAGCATTCATTTGGTATTCTCCATCCAGTGTGAATTCTTTTATTGCGGCTTTTTCTTTCCAATTTAAATCTTTGCCTGTGATTACTTCTTTCAACAGCCTTTTACTTGGAAAGAGCTTATGCAGTGCATATTGGTGTAGGCAATTGACAGCCTTGTGTAACCCTTCAAAATATTTGTGATTGATTTCAAAGTGCACGTACGCAGGGCCTCTTGGTAAAGCTGAGAGTCTTTCAGAGGGCATTTGAACCAAAAGAGTATCATTGTGACTGTCTCTGTATAGCACCATACAGTCAATACTAGACTGGCCCAATGGGATGTGAACTATGGCGTGGCCATGAATAGCATAGTCCATGGCAGCTCCTTCCATTCCATGTAGCTTCAGCTTGTTCTTGAACCTTTCTACAGTCACTGAGCCATTGCACCTGGGTATGCATGTACATTGCACATGTGGAGACATCAAAACTACCACCTCTCTAGACACTATGTGCACACTAAATCTGACTATAACAAGAAGCATTCTCAATCACTTTACACCCTGGGTTTCAGAGACAAGGGGGTTAGGGGACATATTATTATAAAACAGACCCAGTTAGGCAAACCCTGAACATTCACTGTAAGCCTAGTTCTTATGCATAATGGATATGGTTTAACTCACAGTGATGCCATTTTCTGACCATGTGCTATCTCATCAAGACATATAAGCTTGTGAAACTTGTCAAAATAGTTCTCAGGGAGTAGGTTCTCATCGAGCCCCACCTGGGCAGCAGTAAGAAAGCCTTCGTCAGGTGAGTAACTATAGTTCCCCCGGAGAGCAGTGTAGTCTTGAATCTGCATCATTTGGTATAGCTAGTTAATAAAACGTCAGTTGTGTACTGTACATTTTGCTAATACCTGCTCTAGTTTTCCATGAACAAGACTCCATTTCCAGTACTCTAGCTCTTCGATAGAGTGAGCTCTGTTGCAGTTGTTTCCATCAGGACAGCCACCTGGCCTGTGGAGCCTCTCACAGAAAGCCAGCTGCTGAGGATGACAGCCATATAGACTTGGAGGAAGCTCAGTGACATTCGTCACTTTGTTGTTGGTGCCAACAATAAGTGTGACTCCATTCTCTTCTTCATGGCCAGGCAGTTGCCCACACTCGAGCCAGGTTAGCCAGCGGGTGTTGTCGGACTGAGCTGCACTTTCATAGCACTTTGCACATACTTCAGTTGACGGACACTGTGGGACCAGTCTTGAAGTGCACAGCAGCTCCCTCAGTTGTCGATCTACAGGTAGGGGATGACAGCTATGCAGTTCTATATCAGCTGGGCCGTAAGTCTTTACCAAATAATACAGGTATCTCCTTACCTTTGAAAACTTTTCTGATGAAGTCCCATGTGTGATACTCCACCTCCGAATGGGGAAATTGACATGAATCTTTTCTCTGGCAGTATTGTCGTGCCTGGCAGAGTCGGATGGGTGCCTTTTTTCGCTCAATATTTGGTGGAGGATGTCTCATCTGGACCAGTCTCATTGCACTTGGCTCAATTGAAACAAGTGTCCCCCCATACTGGTGGCGATGTTGGTGTGGTTTGAAACATCTCAACTTGATGAGCCACACAGCATGAGGGTTTTCCAGCAGACACTGAGAGCACACCCAGTGCTCCCATGGCACCACCACCTCCATCTCTCCTCCCTGTCAGGGATGGGAGAG